CCAAAGAAAAACTAGAATTTAAATACAAAATTACAAGTTACTTGATTAGGGTTTCGTCTCAATCCCGAATAAGAAGAGTAGCCGCTCATGGTTGAGGTAGAAAACCTCTTCTCCTTGCCTCCGTTACTTTTTCTCTGGAATCCTCAATAATCCTAATGATCAATAGGCTTCTCTATTTTTAGACATAGGACACATCTAAATAATACCCAAGAGGCTAGAATTCTCCAAAATAAAAAGAAATTTGGATAGAATTATTTCCAGATTTTTTGACTCATCTTGCGGGCCCATTTTGACCTAGTAAATGTCAGAATTGGAGAATTCTTATTTCACATAAAAGTGTAGCCCTTTAAGTTAGCTTTCCAATGCTTCTTGATTCACCTTAATCCGATATCAGATGAGAGAGATATGTTCAAAATACCGAATGCTGTGCAGAGTGACTTCTATGGTGGGATGGCAACAATTTTAACTTTTCTTTCTTCAATTCTCATTTTTCATGGGTTGAGCTTTTATTGCTTGATTCATCTTCCAAGCCTTTAAACTTGGGTTGAGTCCTGTCTCTCGGGCTTTAAATACTTCAAAATTTTGATCAATTTCATCTCACAAGCCCGAATGACCTACACATATACAAACTCATTAAAATTGTCAAGTAACAATAATTCAAGGACTAGCCATTGTACTTTAAGGGGCTTAAATGTGTACATTTTGGCACCTATCACCGACCTTTGTTAAGCCCTGACCTGGAATCTCGAGGAGCAGAAGTCTAGTCAGAGCCGAACTTTCATGAGATGGTGAATAATCTCCCGCCTAGTTTCCTCATGTTGAACATAAGCATAGATCTTCTGTAGAGATGATAGGTGTTCCTTGCTGAAGATTTGAACCCTAATTTAACCATATTTCAGATTTAACCCAGAAAGAAACTCAATAATCTTTTCTTGTTCAATTAGCTTCTTCAATTTCAAAGTATCGGCAGGGCTGTCCACATTAAGTGTCTGGTTCTGATCCAATTCTTGCCGCAAATAACAAAGTGTATAGAAGTAAATTGCAATTGAGGAATCCCTCTGCCTTGTGTTGTGAATTCAGAGTTTCAAATCATAAATGTGTGCCATATTGCCCTTCTATGAATAGGTCTGTGTAACTACATCCCAAATCTCCTTAGCAGTATCCATAAACAAGTACCCATTGCTGATATCTTGTTGCGTAGAGTTAAGAAGCCATGACATGACCATAGAGTTCTCTGTGTCCCACAAGTTTCCCATCATCCTTTTGCTATTAACAAACAATGTAAGACCAAGTAATTCTGTCCATCAAGTTTAATTTTGGTAACCTATAGGGTAGGGCTTTCATTCCTAGAAGATAACCTAATGTTGGTTTTCATTCCTATTAATTAAGTATTGTCTAACAAGAATGGATTTGGTACATGCAAGGCTACAATCCTGTTTTTGTAAGAGTTGCAATTTCTCATCTAGTAACTTATTTGGTTCATCTCTTTAATATAAGATTCTTCTATGTGCTTTTTCTGTTCATTCCTAATATATCATCATTTTTATACATATTTATGGTTTGATTTTTGCAATTGTAGGAATCCATGTGTATGTAAAGAGCCTACCACAAATAAAGACGAGATGGTTGATGAGGAGTGGTGGAATTTATATGACAATCTGTGGATCATTCTCTGTCAGATGAATGGGAAGGCACAAAGCAAGGTGTTACCTAAATCTTCGTCTGCCGTGGGCCCAACTTTTGGCCAAAGAGCACGTGGGTTAGTAGAATCGCTGAATATTCCTTCTGTGTGCCTCCAGAGATGGCTGCAGTTGTTGTATCAGGGGGTCTTAGCAATGCATTGGGTGGAAAACCTAATAAAACTGTTGATAAGGCTATGCTATTAAGAGCAGAGAAATGCCCCAGGATTGTTTTTCGACTTGTTATCCTTTATCTCTGTAGATCTTCACTAGAAAGAGCATCTCGATGTGTCCAACAGGTCATTCCCCTTCTGCCATATCTTCTGGCTGCGGACGATGAGCAAAGCAAGAGCAGATTGCAGCTTTTCATTTGGTATTGTATTGTTACCATGTCCAGATAACTTAAGTAACAATTTTTAGTTTTGGTTGCCTTTCATCTTATGGTTTTAACTAAATTTTAGATATATGGATTTTCACCTTCTGCATCATTCTCAATAAAATGTGACACAGTTGCCTTTGTGGACAGGGCCTTGCTTGCTGTTAGGTCACAGTATGGAATGCAGGATGATGGTGCTCGATTTCATGTTATTTCGCATTTGATTAGAGAAACTGTTAACTGTGGTAAGCCAATGCTTGCTACCAGTATCATGGGCAGAGACGAGTCATCAGATTTAGGCAGCAATCCAAAAGAAACAGGCACCCTACAGAGTCTAATTCAAAAGGATCGAGTGCTTTCTGCGGTGGGCATTAAAGTTTTCTTTTGACTTACCTTTATTTTATCATGTTGTCTGCTGCTGCAATTTAACAAGCTTCACCTTGTACTTCTATTGGTGTGTATGTTGCCATATATCTGCTAGTTCCTTCTGGCCAATGGCAACCATCATTCAAGTAGTTCCATGAAGATTGGCTCCTTAAGAGCTGCTGGAATGTGGTAATTGTAACTCAATGGCATATATAAAGAACGGAGTATCAAAAAAATTCATTTCATTTTCTCTCTTTGAATCACTTATAGAAATGAAAAAATGAAAATTTGAGATTAACAGCATACAACTCATGTGGCTCAGTTTTTTATGAAGTGGAAATCCCTTTATATTGCTATTATTGGAATATATGGTGACGCCAAGCATTTGTCACCAGATACAGAAGTTTCTGGATGAACTTCATGTATTTCATTTCTGCTTACTGGTTTGAGTCCTGCTCTTTAATTGTCTATTTTTACTCTCCAGGTTGCTGATGAGGTAAAATATATAAAGACTTCAAAATCTGATCGCACCAGACAGTTGAATGAGCTACGCATTAGGATGGATGAAAATTCATCATTAGATTCTAATCAAAAGAAAGCTTTTGAAGATGAGATACTGAGTCGCTTAAACACCATTCTTGCTTCGGATGATTGCAGAAGAGCTCACTTTCAGCTTGCTCATGATGAGGAACAGCAAATCGTTGCTGTAAGCATGCAGTTTTATGTTATTTTACTAACTTTGTTTTCTGTTGGCTTGTGGCCCACATTCTGCGTAGTGATTATTGCATCAGCATGCTTAAGATTGCAATTACAACTTCAACAGGAAAAATGGATTCACATGTTTCGCACTTTGATTGATGAGAGGGGTCCATGGTCTGCAAATCCTTTTCCAAATAATACTGTTACACATTGGAAACTTGATAAAACAGAAGATGCATGGCGACGTAGGCCAAAGTTAAGACGGAATTATCATTTTGATGAAAAGCTTTGTCATCCTCCATCCACTGTATGTAGTAATGAGGCTGTTCTTCCAGTTAATGAAAGCAAATCTGCTTTTGGGGGGCATATTCCCGAGCAAATGAAGCGATTTTTACTGAAAGGAATTCGCAGGATCACCGACGAGGGGTCCTCAGAACCTACTGAAAATGATGCTGAATCAAGTGGGCAAAAGATCTCTGTCCCTGAGGACATCTCAGACAGAAAGGGCTCAGAGGGAGTAAAAGACAGCAGTGATCAAAAGGATATTTTTCAAGATAGAAAGGATTCTTGCTCTACATCTACAGAGCAAGAAACCAGCGAGGTAGGTGAAAATTATATATGTGTATCAAGGGATGCTTTATATACTAAAAATAAATAAAAAATCCGCTGCAGCTGCGTTTCTTATGCAAGGTTTCCTTTTTTCAGGTCCTTACATCTGTTCCTTGTGTACTGGTAATACCAAAGAGAAAATTAGCTGGACGTTTGGCAGTCATGAAAAATGTCTTGCATTTCTTCAGTGAGTTTTTGGTGGAAGGTACGGGAGGGTCATCAGTTTTTAATAACTTTAATGCTTCAAGCAACTATGATTCAGGCAAGCTTGATCAATCGGGAGGAGCCGAAAAGCAGAAGTTAAATGTCGATTTGGATTCTGAGAAAGGTAATGCTTCTGAAAACACAGACGCAATTCACGAAAATGTTCTTCAAAAGCAACCTAAAAATATTAAGCGCCACCGAAGATGGAACATTTGCAAGGTAGTGAATATTTGTCTCTGAATTATTATTATTATTTTTTTTTCCTGCAATCTTTTGTTTAAAGTTTTTTTTTTTTTTTTTTTTCCATTTTTTGTTGACTGCAGATAAAGGCTGTCCATTGGACTCGGTATTTGCTTAGGTACACTGCAATAGAGATTTTCTTCAATGATTCGGTTGCTCCTATATTTTTGAATTTTGCATCACAGAAGGATGCAAAATATGTTGGAACCTTGATAGTTGCCACCAGAAATGAATCTATGTTTCCAAAGGGATACAAGGACAAGACTGGAATTATATCCTTTGTTGATAGACGTGTGGCACTGGAGATGGCAGAAACTGCCAGAGAGAGCTGGAGGAGAAGGGAAATGACAAACTTTGAATATCTAATGATACTCAATACACTTGCGGGAAGATCGTATAATGATTTGACCCAGTATCCTGTTTTTCCTTGGGTTTTAGCTGATTATTCCTCAGAAACTCTTGATTTCAACAAGTCGTCAACTTTTCGGGATCTTTCAAAGCCGGTTGGAGCACTGGATTCGAAACGGTTTGAGGTTAGTTCATTTGGTTTCCTGTATATTGAACTCCCTCTGTACATGATATTTGTGATTATTGTATTGTTTTGTTCCTTATGCAGGTTTTTGAAGATAGATATCGTAATTTTTGTGATCCTGATATTCCCAAGTAATCTTCAAACCCTGTTTCAGCATCGGGATTACACTCAGACTATAATGTCTGATGATCTAATAGTTCTTGTATTTCTCATTACAGTTTCTTTTATGGATCTCATTACTCAAGCATGGGGATTGTGCTCTTTTACCTTCTTAGGTTAGAGCCATTTACATCTCTCCACCGTACTCTGCAGGTATTTTGAGAAGCATATTGGTGGGAATTGCTATCAATAATTTCCTGCCTTCTTGGAATTGATGTAGTTCCAGCCCTTCACTCTTTTTAAAATATTGTGTTTAAGTTAACATAGTTATTTCTGCTGAGACATCAGGTCCAGTTTTTTTATTTTTTTAGGTGTTAATTTGTCTTTTCATATCTTGATTCATTGACCAAAAGCTTTTCTTATGCATCATTATTGGTCAGGGTGGTAAGTTTGACCATGCAGATCGTCTTTTTCAAAGCATTGAGGGCATTTATCGGAACTGCCTTTCAAATACGAGTGATGTGAAAGAGTTGATTCCGGAGTTCTTTTACATGCCAGAGTTTCTTGTCAATTCGAACTCGTATCATTTTGGAATAAAACAAGATGGTGAACCCTTGGGTGATGTTTGCCTTCCTCCTTGGGCCAAGGTATTTAATTCATCACAAGGGCTTCAATATGAATTGTACAACTTCAATATGAGAAGTCCTGATTCTTTCTTTAAATCATTGTATGCGTTAACCACCTCATTTTTGCTTTAAGAGTTAATTAAATTTCTATTTTGACCCAAAGGAGAAAAAAATGACATGAGAAGAACTTGATCATTTTTTTGAACAGGGATGCCCTGAAGAATTCATAAACAAAAACCGAGAGGCCCTTGAAAGTGAATATGTTAGCTCAAATCTCCATCACTGGATTGATTTAGTGTTTGGTTACAAGCAGCGTGGAAAACCAGCAGTAGAGGTATCTTTTGGCTGGCAAATGACTTGCACTCTTCAAAAAACTAGTTAGTTATGTTTTTAAAGTTCTCTGATATTTTTCAAGCATTGTATTGCAGGCGGCAAATATCTTTTATTATTTAACTTATGAAGGTGCTGTCGATCTGGAGACCATGGAAGACGAACTGCAAAGGTCAGCCTTAGAAGACCAGATCGCAAATTTTGGACAGACACCAATTCAGATCTTTCGTAAGAAACACCCTAGAAGAGGACCACCAATTCCAATTGCTCATCCCCTGCACTTTGCTCCCGGTTCTATTAATTTGACTTCCATTATTTCCAGTGGAAGTAATTCACCATCAGCTGTCTTGTATGTTAATGCGTTCGACTCCAACATTGTCCTTGTCAACCAGGGCCTGACCATGTCTGTAAAGATGTGGTTGACGACCCAACTGCAATCTGGTGGAAACTTTACCTTCTCTGGCTCTCAGGTGGCCTTATTTATCTTCATTAAGTTCAGCACATCATGTTATTTACCATGTTAGTTTAGTTAGATGTTGATGTGTAAATTCTCGCAGGATGCTTTTTTCGGGATTGGTTCTGATATCCTTTCTCCACGTAAAATTGGGAGTCCATTAGCTGAAAATGTTGAACTTGGAGCACAATGCTTTGCAACATTGCAGACCCCAACTGAAAATTTTTTGATTTCATGTGGCAACTGGGAAAATAGTTTTCAGGTCATCTCCCTAAGTGATGGAAGAATGGTGCAGAGCATCAGACAACATAAAGATGTGGTTAGCTGTGTTGCAGGTACCTTTCATTACTGAAAAAAACTAAATCTGCTAATGGATGAAGTTCAGCTTTGATTCTTGGCCATTGAATAGCGTTGTTCTTGTAAGAATATGAAACAAGATCAAAGACATGTAAGATCTGTTAGATGGGAACATCTCGTGAAACCTGAATTCAGTAAACTTACTGTTAGAAAAAGAATTGCATACTTCATTTGTGTACGTATTTAGCATTACTCTCCATAATTTTTATGCCATATATGCTTGACCTTGCACTGCAGACCCGACATATTATTATGATATTTTCCTTTTTATGAAGATTATGTTAAAGTACGCTAATGCAGGAACCATGCCACATTTGCATCATTCAATTGTATATGTTGATACTCCATCCCATAATTATATTCCATTTTGAATAGCATTCTGTTCTAGGAAATTGTCTCTTATATATTCATTTTTAAGTTTTCACATTCTCATTTGAAGTTTTATACTGCTTCAGTGACATCTGATGGAACCATCCTTGCTACTGGGAGTTATGATACGACGGTCATGGTATGGGAGGTTTCCCGTGTTAAAGTCCATGAAAAGAGAGTTCGAAATACACCAACAGAGATGCACCGTAAAGACAGCGTTATTGCTGAAACTCCCTTTCACATTCTGTGTGGACATGATGATATAATTACATGCCTATTTGTTAGCGTGGAGCTTGATATAGTTATAAGTGGTTCAAAAGATGGGACCTGTGTTTTCCATACCCTGCGGGAGGGAAGATATGTTAGATCTCTTCAGCATCCATCTGGCAGTGCATTGTCAAAGCTTGTTGCATCTCGTCATGGACGGATTGTATTTTATGCTGATGATGACCTCAGTCTGAACCTTTATTCTATTAATGGAAAACACCTTGCCACTTTTGAGTCCAATGGTCGACTCAACTGTGTTGAACTGAGCAGTTGTGGTGAGTTCTTAGTTTGTGCTGGAGACCAAGGACAGATAGTTGTACGCTCAATGAATTCACTGGAGATTGTGAGAAGGTATACTGGAGTCGGAAAGATAATAACTTCACTGACTGTGACTCCAGAAGAATGCTTCTTAGCAGGGACCAGAGATGGAAGCCTTCTTGTGTATTCAATAGAAACTCCTCAACTTCGTAAAACTAGCCTTCCTCGAAATTTGAGATCCAAAACTTCTTCAACAGGATAGATCCAAATTTCAAGACACTATGGTGCATTATTTGAGCCATGCTGATCAGTGATGTCGAATCTGAGGTATACTCTGTCATTAATATTTTATTTACATGTCCTTTTACTTACAAGAAGCATTTTTTTTTTTAATGTTATTTCAATACCATGAGCTAATCCTGATGTCAAATCATTTGAGAAGCCTTGTCGGAACTCAACTCTGATGGCTTAAATAAACCACTCCTTCCATGCAAACCCTAAACTATTATGTATCTTTAGCATCCAACATTTACGCTGGCAACAGCAAAATGCAGGCAACATTTGTTATTCTGTGTGCCTCTCCTTATGTGATATTCTGACACGTCTCTGATTTTTTTTTACTACTATTGTTTCTTTTTTTCTCTTACACGAGTGTTTACTAGAATGCAGAATGTTGAGTCACGCTTATTGCATCTGGGAATTGCTATTAAGACCTCGAGTCGCCTTTCTGTCTAGGCATCAGTTCTTTGGCAGCCCTCGTGTACGACAACAGTAAAAAGAGCCGGAAGAGTATATCGTTAGTTGCAGTCCATACAAACATCTGAACAATTTGGCAGGTGCTTTCTCCCATTAAACCATGAGCACCCCATCCGTTACAAATTCTGTTTGAAATTGCTGTATAGCAAGTATTATTGTCTTGTACATTATATTCTTGTAAGTTTAGGTCAGAAATGTTGTGTATTAACAACAATGCTATATCAGCTTTTCATTTTCCATTTTATATGTTAGCCCTGCCCCCAAAGGAACTTTGTACAGATGGGGTTAACCACCTTTCGTCACCCCTATATAGTATGAGGCAATTTTTTACCAAAGATGTGTAATAATCACTCTCCATATTCAATAGCATAATTTTCTTAGCACATGCTGCATCATGCAATCAGTTATGTATTTTCAATAGTCTTTTTGATTTCATTTTTTATTTTTTTATGCCTCTTTGTGCTGTGGGTTGGTAAGGGATACTGATCAATAGAATTGACATAGTGACACATTGGTAAAGTTACACTAGTTGTCCTCAATTTTTGCGTGGGTTCTGGGTTTAGTGGAAGGGGGTGATGGATACGTTAGGGGTTTGGTGGGGTGTGCGGCTGGAGCGTTGGTAGTGGCGAGCATGATTGTTGACGCCCGCTTGTTTGATGTGGCTTATTTGGTTGGAGCGGAGTAGGACTTTTTTGGAGGTTCATCATGGTGTGCCTTGGTTAGAGAATCGTCTTTTTGTATTTATGTATAGTTGGTTGGAGAAAAAGGTTGATCAAGAGATATTTGTTTTTTTAGACTTTCTGAATGATGTGATTGGCTAATGTCTGTTTTGTTCTCCCCTAATTGGGGTTGCCATTTTGTATTCTTTGCATCATCTTGATTAGGGGTGGTCGCAATTCGGTTTTGGACGGTTTGCGGATCGGTTTGAATCAGTCCGTATATATTTGGTTTGAGAAAAATTTAACCCGCAACGCACAGTGCGGGTTGCGGTTTGTGCGGATAGGATTCGCAGATGTGCGGGCAGTTTGTGGATTGGATTTTTTTAAAAAAAATTATTTTGGAGTCTTTTTTTTTTCATTTTGTAAATATTTATTTTGGGTTTCCCATTTTTTAAAATGCTCCAACATTAATAATTAATGAATTAAAATTTATAAAATTAAAAACACAACAAAATCAATTTCTAACACAAATCATTCAAAATCCTAAATTAGATTATTAATCTCATTTACTATCTACTATTCAACAATACAATTAAAGAAAAATTATTTAAAATTCTAAGCTTACCTAAAAATAATTCTTTATTGACTTTTACATTTATCTAAAATGTAATAATAAAATAACAACAGTCCAGGTGTTCAAAAATAAATAAATCTAAGTGAGGGGGGGTTTTTGCGGGTGTAGGTTAAACTTGTAATCTGCAATTATGTCATATTCTAAACTGTATCTACCCGCATTGTGTTTGCAAAATCACCCATTTGTATGCGGATTGGGCGAGTTGTGCTGTTCGAATAATCATATGTCCAACCAGATCCAAAACTTCTTCAACAGGATAGATCCAAATTTCAAGACACTATGGTGCATTATTTGAGCCATGCTGATCAGTGATGTCGAATCTGAGGTATACTCTGTCATTAATATTTTATTTACATGTCCTTTTACTTACAAGAAGCATTTTTTTTTTTAAATGTTATTTCAATACCATGAGCTAATCCTGATGTCAAATCATTTGAGAAGCCTTGTCGGAACTCAACTCTGATGGCTTAAATAAACCACTCCTTCCATGCTTGCCTTCTTTTTTTCATTTTGTAAATATTTATTTTGGGTTTCCCATTTTTTAAAATGCTCCAACATTAATAATTAATGAATTAAAATTTATAAAATTAAAAACACAACAAAATCAATTTCTAACACAAACAAATCATTCAAAATCCTAAATTAGATTATTAATCTCATTTACTATCTACTATCCAACAATACAATTAAAGAAAAATTATTCAAAATTCTAAGCTTACCTAAAAATAATTCTTTATTGACTTTTACATTTATCTAAAATGTAATAATAAAGTAACAACAGTCCAGGTGTTCAAAAATAAATAAATCTAAGTGAGGGTGGGTTTTTGCGGGTGTAGGTTAAACTCGCAATTTGCAATTATGTCATATTCTAAACCGTATCTACCCGCATTGTGTTTGCAAAATCACCCATTTGTATGCGGATCGATGCGGATTGGGCGAGTTGTGCTATTCGAATAACCATATGTCCAACCCTAATCTTAATGCTTTCTAATAATATTTACTTATTTATCAAATATATATATATATATTTGTTTGTACTTTTGCTCTCCATGTAATTTGGAATATTGATCTCAATGTTTTAAAATTAAATAATACTAATACTGATTGTAGTTTTTAATCAGTCTCGGCATGACTGCTTTTGAAATTATGGGCTTTTTTTTTTGTTACTTTCTGATGCTGTGTTACTAGGGCCTGGTGTAAGATGAGGTCATTTTAGAGTGGATAAGATTAAAATTTAACTTCTTTTGCCATGTTTGATACAACAGAAATGCTTGATGGCACAAAAGGAAGAGAGACCTGGGAGGGAAACAAGTACCGTGAAGAAATGTAAAGAAAGGAGAGGGGTCACCATTTTCTATTCCCAGCCTGTATTTGGATCAAAAGTTTTGTTAAGGTCAATCGACATAAAATAGTTTTATACCATAAACAAGTTAAGGATTTTTTTGAAAGTAATTAAATAAAGAAGAATATAATAGAAATAGAACCGAATTTATATTAATCAAGATAATTGTCACTTGTTACAAGTTACATGAACTTCATACAAGAATAAAGAACTGAAAAATATAGTAATCGACAGAGAAAAAGGGTTAGAAAGCTATCATTGGTCTACTCTTGGTCATGTTTGTTTGACTCCATAGGTGGGGGGATTGGACTACTAATGTTGTGGGCCTTACATACCAATGTTTGGTTGACAAAAATAGGAAGGGACTAGCAGTTCCATAGGACTATGAATACCCTCACATAGGTTTGGTTTGGGAAGTGGGTTAGCTTTTTGGCTTTTTAATTTTTTTTGGTTATTTTAGCTTGGGGCTAAAAAGTTTAGTTTGGGAAAGACGGTTGATTTTTGACTTTTTTGTGAGAGAAAAAATGTAATGATTATGAGTTGGATGTGATGTTTTGCTTTATTGAGCTAAAAAGACTATTTTATTTTTTGTGACTAAAATAATCCAAAAAAAAAAAGCCTCAATCTTGACTTCCCAAACGAAGGCATAGTGGGATTAGTTTTTCCACGGAACAGGTGGGATTGGTAATCTAATCCTATGGGATTAGGTGTCAAAAGACAATTTTTCCCTTACATTACAAAAATAACAAAGCTAATTATTATACAATGAGGGTGTTTATGTAATTTTATACATTTAATCCTAACAGATTAATATTACCACACTAGTATACAAACAAACACTCTTTATCATACATTTTCAAACTAATATTACTACATTAATAATCTCATCATGTACTCATAATCTCATCTAACCTAATCCATCAAACAAACGGAGAGTTGTTAAATTGACTTCTCCTAGCTATGCCTAATATCACGATGTGTGAGTTGTTTTGTGTCTTTTTTGTATCTCTCTTGGCCTATTTATAGGGCTCAGACACATGAGAGAAACAAAGATAATCAAATATTATGATTTCCTCAATAGGCCATGATTTTCTCAATATCATTTATATCCCATGTTCACAGGAACTACTTTGTAAATTTGATGTTGTAACTTGGTTTTAATTCTACAACCTGAATTTCAAATGGTTACAATAATTAACTCTTCTAACCCTCCATTTAATATATCATCATAACACGTCATGTCACATTATTAACCCATCATCCCACATCAACACTCCTCTGTCGATAGGCCATCAAATATCTCCCGCCTTGCAATTTCTTTTGGAGCAGGTTTTTTTTTTTTGGCCTTTAGTTGTTTGATCGACAAGCCTATTGACATGCACACATACATAATGCACATGTACAAAGATTATATATATATGTTCCTATGCCAACAAAACCCACCATCATGAATTATATATATATATATAAAAAAAAAAGTAAGATTCTCAAGATTTAGAACTTAATGCTGAGTTTGGTTGATGGATTTGAGGAGGGATTTGGAAAGGGGAAGGGAAAAGGTGTGTGAAACTATGTGAAATATAGGCATGATTTATTCACATTTCACCTACCTTTTCCATTTCCCTTTCCAAATCCCTTCCCAAATCCCCCAACCAAACACAGCATAAATGTACCTTAAAATAAGTTATGTGATGAAAATTCAATTGATAAAGTGTAGAATTCACGTACAAAATGAATCTAAGCCATTGATGTAAAATTCTAAATAATTTTTAGGTTTTTATATCTGAGTCTGTAGCATTATTAATTTTATATATATAAAAAATATATAAAGCATCAACAACAATAATAACAATAGGAAAAAAAACTAGATTTAGTCGTAATTAATTGTTTACAATCGACAAAAAAATAAAATGTGATGCCAACAATAAAGATTTGAAAAGTAAAAGGAAAAAAGTGAAAAAAATATAATTATATTTTATTTACCATTCATCCACATTTTTTTCTCTTTGCTCTCAATGTTTTTTGGAAATTCTCTTTAAAGAAATAATAAAATTTTAAATATTGTTGGGTTTTTTTTTTTTTTTTTTGGTACCTCTTTGGATTGTAAGAATCAAAGAGAATGAATAGAAATCTTGTTATCAATACACCAATTCTTATAATAAAATCATTATTTCAATGTGATTAAAGTGCTTTATATAGTTTGGAATTGTGTGAATTATTTATTTACTTATTTATTTTGAGAACTTGACAAAATGATAGTTCTAAATACTGTAAATACATCTAATTTTTTATTGTTTACATTCCTCCTAATCACGAGGAAGGTTGAGGTGGGTGGGTATCAAATTCTTGCTTAATTTGAGAAACTAATCAAGAATCACTTCTCCTCGAATTCCAGAATTACATAATCTTATTCTATGAAAGTTGATAGAAATTTTATTAGAGTGATGATAGAGAACACTAGAATTGGAGCTATGGGGATTGGGAGATCAAAAAAAAAAAAAGGAAAAGTTAGTCAATCAAATGCAAAGGGGGTGACCGCCAAAGGGGGTCTCAACCTTTATTGTATATAAAAAACGTAAAAATAAAAGAAAAATGTTCCAGACCCCCTTTTCCCCCCACTCCCTTTGACCCCCTCTCAACATGATTGGCCAGTTTTTCTTTTTCTTTTTTCCCTTCTCCTCCAATCACTACCCACCACGTGTGTGTGGGGGGTGGTGGGGGTGGTGATTGGAAGGAGTCTCTATCAAAGCTCAAAATAAAAATGCAACATCACAAGCCAAAACATCAACAACAATGATAGAAAGCTCTAATTTTGGAGTTCTAAAGAGAGCTCTAGTAATTGGCAAGAGAAAAAAAAAATTAAAACAAAAACATAAACACACATCACATCATATCACATCACATGTGAATCTCATTCCTTGCTACATCACTAGAATTCTTTTTAGAACTCCAAAATTAAAAATCTCAATCTTCATTCAAACATCAAATCATGAAGTGAGACCCATCTCTAGAACTCCTCATTTAAAAGTCTCAAACATATTTGATTTTATTATTGTTTCAATGAAAGTTGATAACCCAGAAAGCCGCCAGCTTTCCTGTTGGCAGATCGGGAGGATAAACCACCTTTTTACTCTCCTTCGGCCAATTCAAATAGTAAATTTCACTTCCAGAGGACACTTCTACACAAATCCAAATACTACTGAATTCTCTTGTTGCTAGATGTTCACCGGGAAAACCTTGAATGGAACCATATTTTACCAGATTTCCCAGCCTGCCTTCCTTCACTTGTTACCGAGCATATAGATCAACTTCCCATAAAAGATTTCCTTCAACCCACTGCAGACCTTTTAGAATAAAAAAAATGGGTTAGATAAAGAGGGCAGATAAAGAGGGCAGACTCAAAATAAAACTTGAATTGTTTATAGAAGTGAAATCATAAAGTTCTCATGAAACAAAACCACCAATAGGACTACTAGTATAAATTATAACTTTCAAATAATACCATTCATCATGCAAGATTTGAAGGCTGGTTTTGGTCGGAGTACAATGAAGTTCAGGCTTGGATATTTGATATAATGAAAGGCAGCATATATTGCCTGAGTATGGGCCTATGTCAAACATGTCAAAAACCAACCATCCCAAGTCTTGGACAACACACATAAATTTGTTTTTTTCATTAAACTGTAACGCTTGTGACGAAGAAGACCTCTATTGTATACACTAATCACGATGAATGACACAACACTGATAATTTCATCTTTAAGTTTACTTCTATATGATCTGAGAGAGTTCGTAAACCTCCCGAAGGTATTGCTTCTGTATCAAATATTTCTAAAAGAATGTATTATTTTATTTTTTAGAATAGATCTTGTTAACTTGTTCCATTTTAAAAATATCAAATTGCTTACGTCAACAAAAGGTTTATGCCACATAACCTGTTTATGAAGGAAATGAAAAATGTGAAATGTCTTCATATGGAATCATTGCTATATGCCACATAGAGAAAAAGATTCAATGAAGAACAAAGGAAAGAACAACGCAAAAACAAAATTACGAAGTGGAGCATTGTTCAAATTTTTTCATACCACATGTTAACAATGTGAAAGTAGTATTAATTTCCTACAGAAAAGAAATGAAAAAGGTCATAAAAAATAAAAGAACATAAAGTAAAACAAATAATTTGGTTCCACACAAAATTAGCACTACATTGATGCACAAAGACATCAAAGAAAATGAAAGATATTATTTTCAATGGAAATCCAACTTAAACATTTAGTTATAATATCTTTGACTACAATAGATGCCATTATAACACTAGTGCAGAAATATATGAAAAAGCACACGAATAGCTAAATATGTTCGCCGCTCAGAACAAGAATAAAAAGGGGCAGTTTCTTTCAAGAAAATAGGAGGCTTTTGGGATTTTGATCTGATGAGGAGGCTTCGTTTATCCGAACGTGGCCCTTTTTCTACTGATATGTTGGAATGGTTCTAGCAATACTTGCAATCTTCAGTTCAATGTTAGCTTATATACTCAAAATTAGTATTATGAAGCATATAGCCCAATAGAGAAGTCAAGATGGAAAGTACAAATATGTTTATTCCATTGTAGAATAAAAGGTTATATCAAAACTACTTTTCTCTCTTAGTTGAGAAATTATTCAACAATGCTCTTGTGGGATTCAACAAAAATCTAGCTTTTTCATTAGCCACTAAAATTTCACCACCTACCACCGGAAAAAAAAAATATTATTGATACCTGGAGTGTAGTGATAGAAAGAAATTGATGATTCCCATGCCTTTAAGGGAGTACAATGTAACATTTTAATTTGGTCACTTGATAATTATTTATATAATGTTTTGTTTCCATAGTTCTTATTCTTGTCTTATAATAATTTATTCTTTAATATTTTCTTTAGGTTTTCTTCTTGGTCACAAAATTTTACTTCAATGATTGTTGATGTACTCATACTCGGCATACAAAATGTGCTATAAAAAAATCATAAGTACATTCATATATATATAATATTTAAAATGAATATTAAAATTAAAATTTTCTTTTGTATTATTTCAAACTTTAAATGAATCTTTTAAAATTTTGTGAATTTATATAATATATATATATATATATATTTGGTGTTGGTTGTTATGGGAGAGAATAAAAAATATATTTAATGTAATAATGGCACTATTTTATGCTGTTTTGTTAATCATTAAAAAAATTATAAATGAATTAAGTGAATAGTTATTGTCTGTCACTAATCTAAACAGTATTATGATCTTTGACATAAATAAAAATTATTCATTAAATACTGATACTATCATTTGTGGTAAGCTCACCAGAAAGAAAGCCTACGGATATCTCCAAAGAAGAAATCGAGAAGGCAGTCTTTCCTTGATGACTCGGATCAATGAGACAAAGAGTTACTCAGAGCTGTAGTTAGGGCCTTTGCCAAAGGAATGGGACCCCTTCTAAGCGAGTCAATCCCAGTAGAGAGGAGGATCCGCCCTAAGGGTTAAACATCCTTTAATGGAATTGGATTGGCTGCTTTATCCGCTAGTCAATTCCCGTATCCACATCTTCCTGTAGCTATCTCTTTGAAAGACTGAATCGGACACCTATTTTATCGCCTCACCTTCACTACAGGATTATTTCTTTCTTACCTTTCGGGCAGGTTAACCGGCTGACACCGCTACTTGCACTACTAATAGCTAAAACTCGGATTGGGGGCACGCAACGCAGTTATTATTGCTGCTTTCTATCTAGTAGCATTGGTTCCGAACTCACAATCAATCTTAATCCATTCTATCTTACCAACAACTAAGCAGAGGGGCTCACTTGACAAAGTGCCGAGCATTGTTCGTCGTGCTAGTTGCACTACTCCAATTCCAGTGGTAAACGAAACCTTCTTTCTCTTGCTTTCGGGCCTACGTCTCTCTTTCAAGGGTTGCACTTTCTTTGGTAGCTTTGGGCAAGGCAGTACTGATAACCAATCTTGCTCTAGCCGCTTTCAGCTTCAGGGAAGGTTTACTTTTCCTTTCCGTGAAGTTTTTGTTCCAGGCCCCCTTCTTAGTCAATGGACTGACAGTTGAAGGGACGGGATCATGACTTTGACTTCTAGGTAAACCTATAAGTGAAGGAAAGAACTAGCCTGATCTAGTTTAGATAGTTCTATTCCTTTCTTCAAAGGGAAAAAGGATTTTAATTGGCACTTCTTCGATCGGAATACGGATGAGATCAAAAAGGCCATCACTGGGGCAAACAATGCAATAGCTTCGGTTAGAGCAAAGCCCAAAATGGCATAACCAAATGATTGTTTAGCCAATGATGGATTTCGTGCCACGGAATGAATTGATAAAAAGGCAATATTGCTCTGTCCCACCAGTAAAGGACAAGTTCTGCGCTGAGGTTAATGTTAGTTGTCTAGGGAATAATGCTAGCCAGATTCAGTTCTGTCTATTATTGTACAACCACCACTTAAATATCTTTTTAATTATAGGGAATAACCTTTCCCAATATGATGAGTTCGACAGTGAAAACCACAACTACACAATTAAGTCATGTAAAGTGCAAACAAATGCCACTTGAGTTCAGAGCACATACTGAAAGAAACGGATGGTCAACATGAATTGGAAGTATCCAAATTAATAACTTTTCAGTGATGTAGACATAAAGTATGAAATCACTACCCCAACAACTCCAACATACCAGGAGATAAATCACAATTTAGATTTTCACAAGCAGCAAAATGCATACTCATTAAGTAATACTTAAATAGTAATGCCCCCACTAGTAAATAATCTCTCATACATATGAACCCTTAGCAGTTAATCTAACAAATCAAGCTACTGCATTCAAGTGCTTCCACATCTTGAACAGCCACATTCAATGCAAAAACCTCCAGACCAGAGAGGAAATGAAGATAAAATAAATACATATCATGCACACCGAACATTCTGTCAAATAGCACAATTTTTAAGTGCCCAAAATTTTGAATATAGCATATACCTTAGTTCCTGGACGCCAAGTTGCAAGCTTTCCACAGCTAATATGAAGTTCCCAAATGGCAACATTCCAATCATGCAGATATCTTTTCTTCGACTCGTTTACCCATTGATTCTAAGTCAAGAGAGATGCAATGCTCATCTCCAATAAAGTTTGAATTCAAAAACTCTTTCCAGTTTATGCAGGTAACAAAATGTCCATTTTCAATCATGTAATTGAAGTATATATGTGCATCCTATCCGCTGCAATATTACTATTCACCATTTCTTCAAAAATGCAAAGTGCCTTATCAAAATTACCTTCTTTGCTATATCCACTAACCATAGTCTTATAAGTAGACAAATTTGGCACTACAAAACAACCATCCTGCAACTGATCAAAAAACTTCTCTGCATCTGCAACTCTTCCTACTTTCCAGTAACCACCGAGTATGTGGTTACAAATATCCACACAATAGACAAGACCACTACTTGTTACAATCTCATTGAATATCCTCAATGCATCGTCAACATTCCCTTTTTCACATAGCCTATAATAATAAATCTTGCAATTTCATCGACACAAACAATCCCTTTCTTTCTCTCAACCTTAAAGAATTTCGTAGCATCTTCTCCCCAACCAGACCAAAAGAGAGCCTTAATAAAAGAGCCATAAACACAAATTTCCAGCACAGTTCTCTTCTTCATCATCTTCTTCAACAAAGCTTCCGCCTCATCAAGCCTTCCCGCACTACACAGTGACCTAAAATAAGTCTCATAAGCAATCATCTCAGGAACTGCACCACTGCAATTCAACTGAAATATTGCCCTCTTTCCCTCCTTAAAGAACTCAAATTTTGACCCTCCAAAACAATCACTTTTTACCAACTCACAAAACAATTCATTTGCTTCTCTAAATTTACTGGTTTTGCAAAGCACATATATGAAATTCCCATATATACATATGTCAATGTGGTAATTTCCTTGCACCAATTTTCTCAAAATCAAATCAGCTTCATCTAAATCCCCATTTCTACAAAAACACTAAAACATCACAAAATAAGTGAAGTTATCAACATTAAGCCCCTTATCATACACTTGTCTAACAACCTCTTTAGCTAGCCAACCCTCATTTACTCTACACAGAGCCCCAATCAAAGCAACATAGCTCTGCTTCCTCAAACCCCTAGAACCCAATAATAAAATTCTCTCACAAATTCTCTTGATCTCACTAACCGCACCAAACTCGCACACATATATAACATAATCAGACATACCAAATCGCAGAATCGACAATTCAAACCCTAGAATTTCATTCCATACGATCTCAACATCTTTAATTTTACCATTTTTAACTAAACAGTCCGACACTAAACTATACAAAAACTGATCAGAGACTCGACCTTTGATCTTCGGATTGGAAATAACAGTTTTGGCTCTTTCGAGCTTCTTCAATTGCGACGAACAATCGATGACGAAGACTGATGTTGTGGAATCGAAATAACGGGTTTGTCTGAGAAAGGAGTCTAGAGTGGTCAGAGCTGTGAAGTTTCTAAGGTTTTTGGAGAGGGTTTGAGTGAGTGTAGAGAAAGTTTTCAGGTAGTGAAGAGGGTCGATGTTGTTGTTTGTCTGTGATTGGTGGCTTTGGAGGGTATTTAGGTCCCTTTTGGGGGATTGATATGCAATGTTTAGTGGTTTTGGGGAGCTTCAGTTTGCCGACACTATTTATCCTACTTCTACACACTTAATGATTTTTTTTTATTATATTTTTATTCTAAAATGAAACTATCAAAATACTCATTTCTTTTTCGATCAAAATCCTAACTCTCAACCAAAAACATAATCCTAACCCTAACCATCAGTCAACACCATCCTTTATGGCCGCCGCTTCTCTTTTCCTCCATCACCGCCGTTACCTCTTCCTCCACCACTACAACTCCCTTTCATCTGGAAACCCATTGCCTTCTCGCCTCTCTTCTACATCCCGTTGGGCATCGTGGAATTTAGATGTAGGAAGAAGACTTATTTTTTTATCACTTGGACTACTAGTATCGAAAGAATCACCTTCATTCAAAAATCAAACTATTGAACCAATGAATTTGGTTCGACTATCAACATCCAACACAAAACACATTGATTCGACCATTAATATCCGAAACCCCTTTTCGTCTGCGAGTCGTCGTCGCCTTCCTTTTGGCGACTGAGAGGAGAGAGAGAGAGAGGGGGGGTTGCAGTAGTGTTGCGGGTGTTGCGTCGCCACCAGCAAGGTGGTTGCTGGTTAGGGTTAGGATTTGATCGTTGCTTACTGGTGTGGAAGGTGTGTGGATTAAGAGTGTTTGTATGGGGATATAACCGGAACAAAATTGTGTGTAATGAGTAATTTTATTTATTTATTTATTTATTTTGGGTGTGTGAACTAAGAAAGATGTGTAAAAAGAGGAATGTGTGTGTGCAAATAGAACCTCCCGTGGTTTTGGTAAGTTAGAGAAGAAAGAAGAGTAAAGTAGAGTGAAAAGAGTTTACGGGAATGGAAGAGAGAGTAAAGACGATAACTGGTACACTACTCATATTGCTACACTATAAAAGTAATTTTTAGAAAGAATTTGAAAATATATTGTATTTTAAAAAAATAGCACTTACCAACAGTGGTGGAGTCAGGAATTTAATGTAGGAGGGGCACCTATTAATTATAATCTCAAAATTTTTAAGCGACTTTGTTTTGTGGAAGAATAATTATAATATTCTTCTTGAGGAAGAGATGATTCCAACTTTAATTTTCTATTGAAATATTTCTCCGTGACTGTTTTAAAAAATCAAAATCAAAATAAAAATTCATAATCAAAATCACAAACTCTCACAAATGAAAATCTCCAATTTTAATACAAATCAAAAAATTTAAATTTAGCACAAATCACAACAAATAAAATTTCTAATATACCAATATTATAACAAATGAAAGTCCCTAATTTAAATAACAAATACTAGAAATTAATACTTCATCCGTCTCAAAATAATGGTCCATTTTGGGAAATCCAATTTTGTTTGGTAGTACAATTATTGCACTTTTAAAAAATTGATTTTTCAAAATTACCCTTTAATAGTACATTTTTTGGAGAATGTCAATGTCATAATTATACTTTTTATGTTGTTAATGAATTTAAAAGAATGGCAAAATAGAAAATTTATATTATTTTTTAACTTGATTTTTGAAAATGGACTAATATTTTAGGACAATGGAAAATAGAATAAGAGACTAATTTTTAGTACGAAAGGAATATTTTTAATTGTAGCACAAATCAAATCCCTAATTTTAGCACAAACAATAACAAACCAAAATCCCTACTTTTAATAAAAATCATCACCAACTAAGATTCATAATTTTAACATATCAAAATCTCTTATTTTAACATAAATAATAACAAATCAAAATTTTTTACAAATCAAAACTTAACAAATAATTATAAATTGATGCTTATAATTTTTATTTAAAAATAAAAAATCATAAATAAAACTACTTGTAAACAATAAAGAGAAGATATCAAGGTTGTAGTGTGATTCCAAATCTGTATTGTGTGATCATAATCTGGTGAATCGCGAGTTGATAAATTACAAAGTAACAAAGAGAGATAAAAAATAAATAATAAAAAAAAAACGCTTGCTACCGTTTTCCCATGAATCAAAAAATAATAATAATAAATAATTGGATTGAAGGTGTGTTTGGGTGTGTGTGTTAGTGTGTTTAGAAATTAGGTGCATGTGTGCGTGTGTCAGTAGGTCAAAGTGTGCTGCCAAGCCAAATGGGCTACTGTGTATTATGTATATAAGGCACTACGTGTAAGCTCAAAAAAAAAAAAAAAATGAAAAGTTAGAGGGGGCATGTGACCCCCGGGCCTCACATCACTCCGCTCCTGCTTACCAATAAATTTCATACACAAAATTCAAAATCTATTTAATTTCAAAACAAAATGCTTGCACTAATTTGTCATATATATTTTTAATTGTTACCAAAAACTCTTTTTTTATTATTTTTTTATCACTTTAAAAAGTGTTGCTACATCCAACGACTTTCGTCGGACTCATCAGAGACTTGCTGCTCAACATTACCGGAAAGTCACTGGAGCATCACTGGAAGTTCACCGGAGTGTTTTGACCATCATTGGAAAATGTCAAGAACATCATCGAAGACTCATCGGAATATTTATAATATTACAAAAAAAAAAATAGAGAAATTACAGTTAAAAAATATAACAACAACAAACAACTAAGCAAATAATCTGTAATATTGATCAAATTGAAAAGTAAGCTTTAAAACTGTAAACTGTTACAGTTTCAAAGTATTATTATATTAAGCTGGAAAACATGTTATGAAACTGTCAAAATTTACAGTTTTAAAGCATGATTCATTTCAGCACAAAAAAAAACTGAATCTGTTAAATTTTACAATTTTTACTGCTTGTAACTAAAAATTAAAAATAACTTATTCAAAACTTGATTTTTTTTCCATTAAAACGGAAAAATAGACGTGTGTAACAGAGAAAAGGTAGAAAAATTAAGAAATCGAAAGAAAGAATAGATATAGAAAAAATAGTGTACCTCGACAACTATTTTTGATTTAGATATAGTCGGATCTCATGTAGATCTACATCAAATCTGAGTAGATCTACTCATCTTTTTCGTCGTCGTTAATGATGAAGTAACGAGTCGATGTCGATGATTGGTGGTTGCTAGTGAACCCCAATCAACGGTGGTCGTTGGTCACCGGTGACTATATATTAGAAAGAGAAAGAGAATAAGGAAGGTGTAATCACCGGTCGTCGAACATGACAAAGAAAATGAGAGGAAAATGAAAAAAAAAAAAAAAAAAGAGAGAGAGAGAGGAAAACGGAAAGAATGAGAAAAAATGCACAGAGAGAGAAAGAAAAAGTATAGGACTTTTGAGTCTACTAAAAAAGTTGTTGGATTAAATAATGTATACATATTTCAAACATGACCTATGGGTAATTTTCTCTTTAAAAAATGTTTGAAGTTCTAAATCACGAGTTTTAAAAGGAGCTCTAATGGGTGAGACTTATTTATTGATATCTTGATACGATGTTTCGAATTTTTTTTTTTTGGCCTCTATTTTATTTTTTTTTAATTGCCATGCACGTAGAACTCAATTTAGAGCTCTCTATCACCACCGTTGTATTTTAGTTGAATTTAAAATATTTCATTATCAAATTGTTTGGGAATTGATTATTTTATTGTTATGTTATAAAAATATAAATTTTTAATTTTTTATAAAAAGACATGTAAAAAAATAAAGTTGGTGGCAATTTGACAAGTTGGGGTTGGGGGGATTTTTTGTTAAAATTCACAAAAATATAAAATATACTAAAATAGCCAATAAAATAAAATGTCATATCAAACTTGTAATAATATCATTTTTTCTCTCATAAATATCATATCTAACTACAAAAAAATCCAATCATCTTTGTAAATACAAATATTTTAACCTACTAAAATAGTCAAAAACTAAATAACCTCCTAAAATAGCCGACTTCCCAAACGAAGCCATTAGGTGTTTGTGATTATTGGCTATTTTAGCCCAACCCAACTTGCCAAATGGGGTTAGTTTTCGTTTATTTTTAGTGAAATTTTTTTTATATTCTATTAATTTTTTGTATATTTTAAATACATGCAATCAAGATGCATCTAAAAAAATAAAATAAAATGGTTGAAATATTTTTTAAAAAAATACTAAAATAAATGAAAATTCAAAACAAAATCTGTATGTATTTTTACTCAGATTTTTGTTTGTTTTTAATATTTTAGTTAATTATTTTTTTACTTTTTATATGCATCTAATCTTGATAAATGAAAATCCATTCAAGGGTGAGCATCTCTAGCACTGTTAGCTGTTTTTGGAGTTTTCTTGGGCTAATTCTAATAATCTAAAACGTTAATGATTTGTCAAGCATATCATTCATAAAAAAAAAAAATTAAAATTAATTGGATGTCCATAACTCCCATAATCAACTCGTAGTTGTTTTTAAAAAATTATTAAAATCATATTAATCGTTTACATTTTAAAAAACAAATACTCTTATTATGGAGATATAAATGTTTAATCAATTTAATTTTTTACATAAATAATTTGGATAAAGCTTAAGAGCTCAAATGAGCTCCCCCGAATCCCCCAAAAATGGAAATAGAGAGAAACAGAGGGAAAAGAGGGTGAAGGCGAGAGAGAGAGAGAGAGAGAGAGAGAGAGAGGGAGAAAGAGAGAGGAGAGGAGAGAGGGAAACAGAGAGAGAGAGGGAGAGAAGCTCGGCCGATCGTCGGCCGATCGCCGATCGTTGCAGCAGCTCGGCCCCCGCCTCACCTCCGCTCCTGGTTTATGCCCCCTCCTGTCCAGTTCTCCCTTCTCCCTTCCCTTCTTCTTCTTCTTCTTCTTCTTCTCTCAGAGAGAGAGAGGGAGAGAAGCTCGGTCGATCGTCGGCCGATCGCCGATTGTCGCAGCAGCTCGTCGATCGTCGTAGCAGCTCGGCCTCCGCCTCACCTCCGCTCCTGGTTTATGCCCCCTCCTGTCCAGTTTCCCCTTCTCCCTTCCCTTCTTCTTCTTCTTCTTCTTCTTCTCTCAGAGAGAGAGAGGGAGAGAAGCTCGGTCGATCGTCGGCCGATCGCCGATTGTCGCAGCAGCTCGTCGATCGTCGTAGC